ATCTCTGTGGTTGCTAGGCCAGAGCATGGAGCAAAGTTGCTTTGCACCCGCTCGCCCTGAGCGTCAGAGATCACTTACTCTAAATGTTTCTGTTTAGAACTGTAGATATAGCATACGTCTTCATTTCTAGTCAGAGAACAAGGCAAGTTTCCTTTATAAATCCCTTAGCTAATGATCCAAAATTGAGGTTTTCTCTTTCCCATTTTGTGGAAGGCCTCAGGAAGAGTTTTCAGGCCACCAGAGGCAGGCGTATGGACAGGCTTTTGTTCAGAGTTGCAGTCCCTGTTGCGGGCCAGCCTGCAGGCACTGTGCAGAGCTTACTGCCAAGGTCTTCTCTGAGCCACTAATGATGCTGAGATAAAATGGTGTTTTCTCTTGAAGGAAATGTCCAGTTTAAAGAGGCTGAAATTAAGACACAGTCATGCTGCAAGATACCAGAGAGTTTACTTTTGTCTTCTTTTTTTTTTTTTTCACACACAGAGGATGTGAGCTGCAGGATTGGAGGGGCACCGTGAATGAACATTTTACAATGCAGGGACTGCTGCGGCACTGGTGGAAACATTCTCAGTGCAGTGTCCATATGGACCGATGAATGAAAACAGTGGTTCAGTTCAGTAGGAGCCCAGGGTTGAATTGATCCGTTCATCCATTCAAGCACTGAACACAGTTTATACCCAGAAGCAGACCACCAAGCTCTCAGCATTTAGCAGAAATCTCAGCAATGCTTCAAAGGAATTCTGAGAGTTTTTCAAGGCACATTTTTAATAATCAGCATTGGAAAAGAAAATTCCTGAAAACAACACTGATGAAACCTGGCTTACTGAAATGTTTCAAGGTAAGGAAAAGAAATTCCACTGTTGCAGAAGCAAATCAGGATTTGACTGTATCTATTACTCCACAGTCATGCACGTGGACATCAGGCTACCTTGGAGCTGCTCCTCTGACAAGATCGCACACCATCTCCCGAGAGCACTCCATCTAAATAGTCTGTCCTCTGGTGAACAGGAGGTCTTGGTGTCCTGCAAGAAAGTGGACCCTGTCTTTGGATGTGGGCTTCCAGAGGTCACCCATAGCAGCCCCCCTCCCAGGTCTGGAGCATTCACTTTTCTGCAGGTGTATGACTCCAAGCAAGTCCAGCAACGTCTAGAGAAAAGACTCAAGATGCCCATCTCTTCCTCCAAGCTTTTCTCACTGGTCCAAACCTCACTTATATTGTACCTGTATCCTCCCGGGCCCGATGAGGCCCCCACGGAAAAGGAGAGGTCAGGGGAGAGTGTCAGGAAGGCAGGCAGAAGAGCCTGTGTTGGTGCACTTTAGCTGCAGGGATGGGATGGCTCCCTGCCCAGCAGCCACTTGCGCTTCTGGTGCGGGGGTGCTTCCCGCGGGGAAACACGGGAGCCTTCCCCCCCTTCCCTCCCCCGCCTCCAAACCCCCGCGGGGCAGGCGGTACCGGGCAGCACTCCCTTCCCACCACAGGCAACACTGCTGCATTCGCTCTCCGAGCAGCCCTGCCACACACAAGAGGCCTTTCCCAGGCGGTATCCCCGGCTCGGAGCCCCCAGGACAGGACCAGCCCACAGCATCTTCTCCATTAGTGCCGCTCCACCCAGCCTGGCTCCCCAGTCCTGGTCCGAGAAGCACCCGCTGTGTGGGTTCCCCATCGCTCCTGCTTCCCATGGCTCCAGTGACGTCCCGGAGCTGCCCAGAGATCTGGAGCAGCCCTACACCCAGTGCCTTCCACCCCCCTGCAGGCAGGGCTGGCAGCATCTCCAGTGCCCCCAGGTCATCCCAGCACACAGGGCTGGCAGCATCTCCAGTTCCCCCAGCTCATCCCAGCAGGTGGAGCTGGCAGCATCTCCAGTGCCCCCAGCTCATACCAGCAGGCAGGGCTGGCAGCATCTCCAGTGTCCCCAGCTCATCCCAGCAGGTGGAGCTGGCAGCATCTCCAGTGTCCCCAGCTCATCCCAGCAAGCGGAGCTGGCAGCATCTCCAGTGCCCCCAGCTCATCCCAGCAGGCAGTGCTGGCAGCATCTCCAGTGCCCCCAGCTCATCCCAGCAGGCAGTGCTGGCAGCATCTCCAGTGCCCCCAGCTCATCCCAGCAGGCAGGGCTGGCAGCACCCCCGGTTCCCAACCGTGTATCCCAGAGCGCACATTGGGCATCATTCCTTTTCCTGGAACCTGCCCAGGCACTGCGGCTCTGACCGCATCTCCCATCTGTCCCTGCGGCTTCTTGCAAAGACCAGCCCTCCTCCTCCTCCTCCTCCTCCCAGCACGCCTGTGAACACCCCTTCATGCTGCGGCTGACGGGTGTCAGTGCCGGGGCCTGCCCTGTGTCTGTCTGCTCGTTGCTCCTGCTTCAGTCTGCTGTTGCACGGTGAGTGCGTTTGTCGGTGCATCCACCCTTCCTTCCCTCCTCGTGGAAGGATTGCGAACCTGCTCTGCCTGCTTGTGTGCATTTGTCTGTCTGCGCTTGCCATACCCTGGCAAAGGCTTGGAGGCTTCTGTGTGTCTGTTTGCTGCCCCATCCTGCTAGGCCACCTAATTCAAAAGGTACCTGCACGTTTGGGATCTCTGAGGTCAAGGATAGCAGGCGAAGGTCCAAATTCACAAGGAGGCACACGTACAGGTCATGCTACTGGTAAACTCAGTCTCTTAGCTGACAGACAATAAAATACAGGAACGGGGATGTGCAAGCACATAAACCAGGATTTCTATATACTATGAAATACATCTTTAGTCTTTCATCAATTTAGAAAACTCCAGTTTCATCAAATAGGCACTATTTGCCCAGGAATTCCTCTGCTGAAGGGGTCCTCCAAATCCGGAGGTGAAAGAAACCGGCAGCAAGAACGGCTGAGCAAAGATAGAAGGTCTGTGTGCACCAGAGAGCACGTGTGTTTTCTCATACGAGCGAAGGGAGGAGGATGATGCCTGTCCTTAGCATTTGGTGGTGAGTGAAGTCCAAACCCCTGGTGTCAGGTTTGGAACTGCTGGCTTTCCTTCCTTTCTTTTCTTCTTTGACTTTTCTCGCTCTCTGCTTTTGCTCTGCACAGATCCCAGACTTACATGGAAAACCTACGTTGATGCTTGTTTGAGATTTCCATGTGTTCAGAGAAAGGGACCATTACCTCGGGCCTGTCTGGGGCAGCGCTGGCACAGAGGAGAGCTGTCAGTGCCGGGCTGAGTCCGAGAACCGGGGATGGTTCTTTGCCTGGGGACAAAAGGGAGGTTCCTGAGAGCCCTTCCCTTGGAAATCCCACCCCGCGCAGGATCATCGCGAGCTGCAGCTCCTCTCAGCTCTCTGGGCGCGGTGTTTTCATCCCCGGGAGGGAGCGGCATAATCGTGCACCGCATCGTCCCGTCCGCACGGTTAGAAAACCTTCTCGGGACCGTTCCTCCGCCGCCCGCCCCGATTTTGGTAGCAGTTACCGCTTGAATCCTGGGCGGATTTCCACCAGTTAGGGTCACGTCTGCCCCAGTATCCGGCAGAGCCGTAACCCGCTGTCACGGCGCCGGCTCCGCAGCGATGGAAGCGGAGCGAGAGGGCGACGGTGGTTTCCCCCGCGCCGTCCCCTTCCCCGCCGCCTCCCTGCTGAGCCGCGCTGGAGGGCCCCCCCCTTCCCTGGGCTTGTTCCCAGGGGGGGACACCCCGTTCATGCAGGCGGCTCTGCCTGTGCCCGAGGGGGCGGCGGCCGGGCCGATG